TAGATTAGATTAAGAATAATGACATAAACATCATCACTAGTTTTGATTTCCTCATTATCAGAACTGTGAACATTTCACAGCCTTCGTCATTAAAAAACAAACAAATTCTATAACTAACATAATTGTCATAATTTATTTACATATAAAAAAGTTTAAAAAGTTAAAAACCGTTAATTTAAAAAATAAATAAATAAAAACAAATTCATGAGATATTTATTCCCTTTCTCTTGGCAACACACGGATTTTTATATAAATATTGGACTTGTTGCTTCTTCTTTTCGATATAATTTACACCCTCTATTTTTGCTAAAACTAACTCTGCGTTAGGCCTAACTGCATCTTGGTGACAGGCACTCTCCGATCCTGTATCACCCTGGATTCTTTTCGACATATCTTTGTAAAAGGTATATATACCTTCTAGTCAATCTCTTGCTACTCCAAGTCCCCTAAGACCAGACTGGTGTAACATAGCGACTACTCAAACGTCGTCTGCACACTCAACCACCACTTACGCTTTCATCTATGACACACCCCACAACACTTACCATCATCCTTGATTCCACCGTCATCCTCCCACAGGACTGCCATACCCCAGAGGTAGGCAAAGCATCCATATGCTATCCTCTCGTGAGCCAACCAGGCCCAGCCTCTCTTTAAAAAATTTAAAAAAAAAAGAAAGTCTCCTAAGAAAACAACAATTTCAAGTAAAACAAAATTTTAAGTAAAACAAAATTTAAATTTTATTGCCATATTAAAATGAATAATAATATCATAATGATTTGATTTGAAACTTTTACAAAATAGCAAATATACAAATGTACAGCAAGTCGAACAAACATATAAAATGGGCCGAAATGTATAAATGCTATAAAGCGTGGGTCAGTGAAACAAGTACAGAGGACAACTTTCAAAACAGGAGTTTTATGGCCGCCCAAAGTCTCAATAACATCACCTCCACCTAGTAATAAAATTATGAAATGTGTGAAACAATCAAATAATAAAATATTCAAAATATATAGTTGTCTCTTAAATACAGATAACGTCTGAAAATTCTTAAAATAATCATCACTCCTTCATATACTGATCATTGTCCGAGAGTGTAACTCATGATGACTTCTTATCACGGCTACATACCTTCCCGTACCGGATGTAGTGGTCGAGATGAGTCTGTTCCGCCCTCTTCTTCTTCAGGTCAGTGACCAGATGCTTCCATGTTGCTCGTTCTTCGCTGGATCTGTCTGGACATATCCATACATCTTTGTGCGTCTCCCTCAGTCTCCCTGTTTTCATCAGAATCTGATGAACCGCTGTTGAGCTTGGGACGGTGATCTTGACTGGTCGGATAGCCGTACTACCTGGCCTCTTCCAACCGACTCTAGTCGCTTCGAAGTGAGGTTTCTCCCCGATCTCCCCCAAAACTGCGGTAACTAGCGCTGGAAGCTGTTCTTCCTCCTCTTCTTTCAGCCCAAACACGATCAGGTTCTTGCTCCTGTCCTCCTCTGCAGCCACACTCTTCATCACCTTCTTCAGGATTTTACTGTTGCAGACCGTACCACTTGCACTGTTCTGTTGAACAGCTGCACTATAGTTCTGAATCCCTGACTCCACCGTTGTTTGGACTGTCTCCTCAACAGACGTCTTAAGCAACTGTAGTTGTTCGTCCTTCTGCATCAGCAGCTGGCCCTGCAGTCTGATCACCTTTTCTTTGTCTGCTAGTGCTTCCGTCTTGAAGCACTCGATGATCTCCTTCAAGAGATACATCTGACTACTCTGCCGACGAACAAGGTCCACTGCATCCACAATCCAGCCAGACAGAGTCTGTTTATCCTTAGTCTTGATCTTTTCACGACTATCGTAGTCGATTTCACGGTAGTCTATATGCAGGTCTTTTTCTAACTGATCGGACCAGCGTGCAACACAGCCTTCCACATCTTCCTGTTGATCATAGTTGAACTCCTTAATCAACTCCTGGGATCGGGTCAAAGTTGGGTCATCCCCCATAGTGTACTTGTATAGTAATGTACAAGTACACACGCAAAGGTAAACTACGCGGTAACAGCAAACTGAACTTATTGCAAATTTACAAAAGATAAGAGAGCTCGATATTTGCAACACAAGCTACACTGATTACACACATAATAAAAATAGTTAAACTTAAACATCTGATAATAAACTCGTGAAAATTGGATATGCTATGTAAGATACGTTTTTTACTATATACTTGAAAATTATTCTCAATCATAAATTTCTATTAGCGCGGTGCTTGTCACGTATTATAATGACGGCGCCGAGCCTAAACTAATGAATTCGAAAATTTAAAATAATAAACATTTTAGATCAGAAGTGAAAGTTATTCTAAAAATATTTCATTAACTTACTTACTCTAAATGTTTAAATTTCATAAAAAAATATAGCTTTTTTTCACGTTGTAGCCCTGCCGCATGCACGAGTACGCGGCTTCGTCACGAGTGCGCGGCTTTGTCATTTGTCAAGAAAACAGGATAGGATATCTGATCTAAAGTTCATGCTAGTTATATATTATATGAAATGTATTTTTGTCTGCTTTAATTGATACTAAATAAAATTGTTGTTTTCTTGAAATTGTTGTTTTCTTAGTTATGTAATTTGGCAGTTAAGTGGAGGTCTCAAGATTGGCTATCAAGTATTACTATTAGATATGTGAGGGGCATGGGCACCCAGAATTAAATTGCAGTCTGTTTGGACTGAGCGAGTTCATACTTTCGCACCGTTTTAACTACGAAAATTTAATGCGTGTTTTAAAATATAATAAGCAGGTTTCGACTGCGATAGTGAAGTTCCGGCCGTAGGCACGGGTTACACTAGTATGTCATATTGTTGATAGTATAGTTCCATGAATATTGTGTATTGGAAGCATGAATGGTATGTTTCCATTACCTTTGTATAATTGTGCTTTGCCAATTGTATGTTGTATTGCAACACTTGATTTGATTGAATATTCTTCGAATTTAAAACTTTTCCAGTTCAGATTAATGACATACACAATAATGACATCACCATTTCAAATTTAAATGCAAAACACTTTAATACAACGTAATAATAACAACATAGCCGATCAACATGTTGCTTCAAAATCTTTGCACAAACTTTCGAATTATTATTAACATAATAAAATACCCAATATGATAATTGGCCCATCAGTTTTAAACAGTTGAACACAAAATTTAAGTTGAGCAAACATTTTAATTTTATGCTTTCAATTTCACTAATAACTGTCACACTGTCTCTTTGCATATTTTCCTGTCTTTGTTCACCCATTCATCAGGACTAAGGATATAAGCCAGCATTATCACCAAGCATCCTGCTGCTGCAAATCCTGCCACAGTATAGAAGAAATATGACCATTTTTGTCTGTAAACGGAGGCATAGTTTGGATGGTCCCTATCAGTGGTTGTAATAGCTGCCATCAGTAGAGGGCAGATAAATCCTGCTGCCTGGCCAACACTATTGAAAATTGACATTCTTACTGCCGAATTTTTGGGGTCCATTTCGTAGTTGATCATGAAAACAGATCCACCAAATAGTGTTGAAGCCATGATTGATGTTGAAATTAGAATTATGGTCGCACCTATGAATGACAGGTGGTATGAGAGAGCAATAAAGAAAATAATGTATGAAAGCATGGGAATTAGTGTACACATCATTCTGCACACTAACCATGAGCACAAAGTGTCCAGTATTTGAACCACATATGAGAATGCTATTGTACATAATGCTATGAGCAAAGTGAGGCTGATATTGAGATATGATATGAGTTGTGGATCTGCTCCAGTGATTTCATTAAGATAGAATGGCATTACACTAAGAATGCCATAGATAACTATATTGTAAGCAAGAAGATAGATGGAAAATGCAATCAAGTACAATCGGCAAAAGGACAATTTATTTGTAGGACTTGAAGGTTCATGGCTCTCTGATTTTAAACTGGGTTTGTTTTCTTTCATGATCATATCCTTTTCCTCTAGTGTCATAAACCTGAAAAGTCTAGAATTAAAAAAATTCAATTTGATATTTGGAGGAAGTTTAATGCTTAGTATGGTCACTCTTTAACTAATTAAGATATTTTACGCTGGTAGTAATACCGATGTAAAATGCAGTAACAAAGTTTTCAATTCAAAAATATTATCGATTTAAGATAAGATCATGTGATCATTGTTGTCGAAAATCAGATTTTGGTAGCGTTTCACTGGATCAAAGACTTGTAATTCTATAGTGATAAGTACCAACCACATACCAGCATTTTTCGGGAGATTCTTGTACAAATAGAAGTGTTAAAACCAAACCAATAGCGTAGCAAATGCCACTGTAATAAAAATAGTACTGCCACCCAAAGATGTCTGTAATAAAGCCAGCAAGCACTCCACCAGTCCCACTCCCAATGTAGTTTGTTGCCCCTGTATTAGAGCGTTGAGAATTAGATTATAATCACTTATTATATATATAATCATCGATATTTTTATCACCTAAGTCAAGAAAATTACGACTATAGGAACTTAGAAGGATTAATTTTTTCAAATTTAACAAAATTAATTACCAACTAGAGAGATGAAAATCTTACTCTCTTTCCCTACACCAAATTTAGAGATATAGTGAAAACTGAAGGACATCATGATACCAGCCACCACACCTCTTATTGCCTGATGAGAATTATTTACTATTTTTAAATTGACTCGTTATTTCATCAGCTATATATACATGATGTTTTCGTCAGACATCATTTACCAGTAAAGACTAAAGACATTATTCTCATCTTAAGTGCTAATACAGATTTTAGAACTGGATCCATATCGTGGTAGTACAGTAATAATACATGATACAGAAAGGTAGCCATGCCAGGTCGGGACAACTAAACCTAGACACTCTTTTAGCAGATTTAACATCTAGTCTTTAATAAAGCTTTTATATTATTTAAGGCTGTACTCTAATATCAAATATGTCAATGCATTGTAACCTGAGTAAAAATAACAATTGTCGGAGACAGAGCGGCAAATGTTGGGTAGCAAAACTGAATAGCTCCAGATAATATCAACCAGAATCTGTATGTTCTTGTGAATCCTGGGAGATGGAGAATAACTTTTATTTTCCAAAATTTCATAATTAATAATTTGTAAATATTTGGCGCAAGGTTGCCGGCATTCTTTTTGTTCTTGCATTATTGCTCCCTTGGTCACCTTGAATCATAGCCAGGACAAAATTTAGCTTCAGTTGATAGTTATAATTAGTTGATAGTTATAATTAGTTATAATTAGATTCAATTAATTTATTAAATATCTATAGTTTAGGCCATAGTAGGTTTTTCTACTAGAACATAATAAGAGTTTGACTTCTTTAATCGTTCACAGCGTAGCTCGTTCATCAAATTATTTATACTTCATTTTATTCGATTATATAAGCTCCAATGTTTTGCAAAAATTAATTTAAGTTTTAAAGTAAGGTAAGCGTGTGTACTAGTGTAAATTAAAATTATGGCTTACCAGTGAAATATTTTGCAACAAATGTAGTGAAGCACTGTGCAACGTAACCATAGAAATATGCACCTATCACCATTGCCTGGGTACTTTGGGACCAGCAGAACTGGCCAACATCATCAGGGTCGTCACAATCCTTCTTCACCATGCCCCCTATCATAGAGATAGATACTCCAAACCTGGGACAGCGGCTCTTATCCTTCAGACATTGTGGTAGTCATGACGACAAATTAACACCCGAATAATTTTAGCTGAATACTGCACATAGTTGAAGGTACTAAGATCTTTCCTAGAATCCAAAAAGAAAACAGACAATAGAGCCCATCATTGGGAAAGAAATTTAACTGACCATCGCAAGCAGGAGAGGCAGCAACATTAGTGACTAGTTAATAAAGTTATTTAAAAGAAGAAAATTGGCCACTGCTACTAATAACAGCAGAAAATAAAGTTTACAAGTTTCACAGTAAATAACGAAAACTGTGAAATAAACCGGACTTGAAAAATCTTAGGGGTAGTTTTAGAATAGGACATTGTGATATCACTCTTTTGGTAAATATTTGTAAAATACTCATTATCTTACGAACCTGGCACACATTTCAGTGTAAGCATTGCAAAGCAGACAGAGGTACGCAATGTAGCGTCTTCTTGTCCTGAACCAGTCCCACATCTACAGTCTGAGTGCGAGATGGAACATTTACCAACGAACAGAATACCTCAAACAAAATGGAAAAACTGACGAGTCGAGTCTCTGATCCGACCCTAATGTAATTAATTAAAAGATTAAGGTATGAACTTCTGCAGAAATATTAAACCTTCTCAAATAAGGTCCACATTCATATTGATAATTTGGGATAAATGTCATGATGGCTCTTTCCAAGGTTCTTATCAACAAAGTGTTTACTCACAGCGAGAACACATTTAACCCTGTGTTGAAATAATGTTGGGCTACACGTCTAGTGGCCGTATCGTGGCCGTATCGTGGCCGTATCGTGGCCGTATAGTGACCGTATAGTGACCGTATAGTGGCCGTATAGTGGCCGTATTATAGTGGCCGTATCGTGGCCGTATAGTTGCCGTATAGTGGCCGTATAGTGGCCGTATAGTGGCAGTATAGTGGCCGTATCGTGCTCAAACCTAATCTCCATCTTTCCCCAAATTCTTTATACAATTCTTTATACGACGAATCATATTGAATTTTATGCTCCATAATGAACACGGATCTTTTTGGGCCACCCTGTATAATTGACCGAAATTTCACAGTTTTGACCAGTGACCATGTTATATACTCGTTTTAGCAGTTTCAGTACTATACATTAAACAGTATTTTAGCGTAGTATTTAAGGGCATTTATTAGTGTACGAAATTTAGTACAGCAGGGTAGTGCAGAGAGTTCAGTTTAACACCTCTGTTTTGGGGAGCAGAGAGTTCATTTTAACATCTCTGTTTTGATTATCAGAGGGTGCATTTTAGCACCTTTGTTCTGGTTACAAAGAGGATAGTTTAGGAATTGCTTAGAGCAGAGAGTTTTGGGGATCAGAGAGTTCATTTTAACATCTCTGTTTTGATTATCAGAGGGTGCATTTTAACACCTCTGTTTTAGTTACAAGGAGGATAGTTTGGGATTTGTTTAGAGATTGCTAAAACGAGTGGGAGATTGTTTATACTATCTGGGGATATTTAAGAGTGGGCCTGTTGGATGGCAGGACACTTTTTGGTTTGAATACAGCAGACGTTTACAGTTAATGTTTACAGTTAAAGACCTAGGATATTTGAATTATTGAGATATTATATTGAGGAACACTGAGATATTGCAATTACAGTTCTTAACGGTTTATTCAATTTGAAGTACTTTCCCTTGTCACCTTCCTGAACCAAATTGTAAGGAAAAGAGCCTTTTATCAACCAATCATTGAGCTCAGGTTGAGTGGCACAAGTCACCATTGAGGTACTGGAAGCTGAATATCCGGAGAAACTTTGATGAAAGGAAAAGTTTGAAAATGTACTACCGGTAGGACATTTTCAGATATTATCAGCTTTCCGTGACCCAATTTCACTGTTTAGACTGAATTTTTATTGAATGACCAATAAATGATGCATCAGGATATTTTAGTAATTATTAGTATAGCTGTTGCACTTCATAGCAGTACATATACAATATACATTGCAGATGAAGCGCAATCTAATCTTGGATATGAGTATAACACACTATAGTAATGGTATCGAACTGATTATTACTAGTTCTATAATCTATACTATACCATTAGAGCATTAGACTTCATTGTTGCTATTATGATGGCAGATTGTTTAGAAAACCTAACTTCAATTTGTGAGGTGAAATGTGCTAAATATCCTCTTAAAAACTTCATACTGAATAATATGATAAATTCAACTCAATTAATCAATATTTACTGAATTAAATTGATTGATAGTAACTCACTTTCTCCATTCATGAGGATTTTGACTGCCGAAGGATATGGAAAGTAATAAGCAGAGCTCCTTTTTCACGTGCGGATTTTGCGGAGTTAAGTACAGTGATGAGCAACGTTTCTTAGAACATGTAAAGGAACATCACCAGTGCAAACGAAAACTCTTAACAAGAAACGTGTCACTCAGGACTACAGAAAATAATGCCATCAGTCGACATGATGTAGATGTTGAAACTCGTGGTGAACTACCAGTTGAGACCAATGAACGTGAATTAGATGTTGAAAGTGGTCGACTTGAACTTATTATTGGAACTAACCAATCTGTAGCAGTAAATTCAGTAAACACAGATATTTTGTGTGCAAAGATGATTCCTCAGATTCAAGAAGGAAGTGCGAGACCTAACGTTCCTTTGTCCGATAGAGCTGACAGTGGAATTGTTCCTAATACAAAGGAATATAAAAGGCGGTTTGGTTCAAGCTGCATGGCTGAAGATACTGCATCATCTTCCAATGTATCTAGGACTCTGTCTAATAATGGAAAATTAAGAGTCATCCGTCGAATATATCATTGCAGTTTCTGTAGTTCTAAATTTGTTGACAGCGAAAGATTTACTATTCATTTAGAAAAGCATGTCCAATCATCTGAAAAGCTTGGACAGAAATCCTCATCTAAGAAAACTGTAAAATCCCGCCACCAGAGAGGTGCACAACACGTATATCAGTGTGGGGAGTGTCCCTACTCTTCACACATAAAGAGCTCTTACAAGAGACACGTGAGTATCCACCTCCCTGAGAAGCTGTGGAGGTGTCCTTACTGTCCGTACCGGGGTGCTGACTGGACATATCTCAAAAAACACATCCGGGGGAGACACTCAGAGTCTTATAGTTGCTTCATGTCATCTTGGTCACCCATGAGGGGTACTTCTCTACCAACTGTGGTGTCAGGAGAGAGTGAGAGTGAGGAGACATTGTCAGGAGAGAGGGAGAGTGAGGAGACATTGTCAGGAGAGAGGGAGAGTGAGGAGACACTGTTAGGAGAGAGTGAGAGTGAGGAGACACTGTTAGGATTGTTAGGAGAGAGTGAGAGTGAGGAGACATTGTCAGGAGAGAGGGAGAGTGAGGAGACACTGTTAGGATTGTTAGGAGAGAGTGAGAGTGAGGAGACATTGTCAGGAGAAAGGGAGAGTGAGGAGACACTGTTAGGATTGTTAGGAGAGAGTGAGAGTGAGGAGACATTGTCAGGAGAGAGGGAGAGTGAGGAGACACTGTTAGGATTGTTAGGAGAGAGTGAGAGTGAGGAGACATTGTCAGGAGAGAGGGAGAGTGAGGAGACACTGTTAGGATTGTTAGGAGAGAGTGAGAGTGAGGAGACATTGTCAGGAGAGAGGGAGAGTTAGGAGACATTGTCAGGAGAGAGGGAGAGTGAGGAGACATTGTCAGGAGAGAGGGAGAGTGAGGAGACATTGTCAGGAGAGAGGGAGAGTGAGGAGACATTGTCAGGAGAGAGGGAGAGTGAGGAGACACTGTCAGGTGAGAGGGAGAGTGAGGAGACTCTGTCAGGTGAGAGGGAGAGTGAGGAGACACTGTCAGGTGAGAGGGAGAGTGAGGAGATATTGTCAGAAGAGAGGGAGAGTGAGGAGACACTGTCAGGAGAGAGGGAGAGTAAGGAGACATTGTCAGGAGAGAGGGAGAGTGAGGAGACATTGTCAGGAGAGAGGGAGAGTGAGGAGACACTGTCAGGTGAGAGGGAGAGTGAGGAGACACTGTCAGGTGAGAGGGAGAGTGAGGAGACATTGTCAGGAGAAAGGGAGGGTGAGGAGACATTGTCAGGAGAGAGGGAGAGTGAGGAGACATTGTCAGGAGAGAGGGAGAGTGAGGAGACATTGTCAGGAGAGAGGGAGAGTGAGGAGACACTGTCAGGAGAGAGGGAGAGTGAGGAGACATTGTCAGGAGAGAGGGAGAGTGAGGAGACACTGTCAGGAGAGAGGGAGAGTGAGGAGACATTGTCAGGAGAGAGGGAGAGTAAGGAGACACTGTCAGGAGAGTGAGGAGACATTGTCAGGAGAGAGGGAGAGTGAGGAGACATTGTCAGGAGAGAGGGAGAGTGAGGAGACATTGTCAGGAGAGAGGGAGAGTGAGGAGACATTGTCAGGAGAGAGGGAGAGTGAGGAGACACTGTCAGGAGAGAGGGAGAGTGAGGAGACATTGTCAGGAGAGGGGAGAGTGAGGAGACACTGTCAGGAGAGAGGGAGAGTGAGGAGACATTGTCAGGAGAGAGGGAGAGTGAGGAGACACTGTCAGGTGAGAGGGAGAGTGAGGAGACATTGTTAGGAGAGAGGGAGAGTGAGGAGACACTGTCAGGAGAGAGGGAGAGTGAGGAGACATTGTCAGGAGAGAGGGAGAGTGAGGAGACATTGTCAGGAGAGAGGGAGAGTGAGGAGACACTGTCAGGTGAGAGGGAGAGTAAGGAGACATTGTCAGGAGAGAGGGAGGGTGAGGAGACATTGTCAGGAGAGAGGGAGAGTGAGGAGACACTGTCAGGAGAGAGGGAGAGTGAGGAGACATTGTCAGGAGAGAGGGAGAGTGAGGAGACATTGTCAGGAGAGAGGGAGAGTGAGGAGACACTGTCAGGAGAAAGGGAGAGTGAGGAGACATTGTCAGGAGAGAGGGAGTGTGAGGAGACATTGTCAGGAGAAAGGGAGAGTGAGGAGACATTGTCAGGAGAGAGGGAGAGTGAGGAGACATTGTCAGGTGAGAGGGAGAGTGAGGAGACATTGTCAGGAGAGAGGGAGAGTGAGGAGACATTGTCAGGAGAGAGGGAGAGTGAGGAGACATTGTCAGGAGAGGGGGAGGGTGAGGAGACATTGTCAGGAGAGAGGGAGAGTGAGGAGACATTGTCAGGTGAGAGGGAGAGTGAGGAGACATTTGCTTGTTCTTACTGTCAGTATACTGTCAGCTCAGTGCCAGGGATCTGGAAACATCTTCAATTACAGCATTCTGTATTTGATAATTCATTACTTGAGGAACGGTGATGGTCATTTAATAACCAGAACAAGGTGACCATGATAGAGCTGTCATTAAAATAAATAACAGCATGCCAGCATATTACTGATGATACGGAAATACTATCCTCCGAATCATCCTTTTTTATACTTATGTGGTTACTGTTTTTTTCTGTTTTTCGGAATTCTCTTACTAGTAAAAGCTAGCTTTCTTAATTATAATACAATTAAAACTTCGAAATTATGTCATAATTTCGAAGATTAATTGTATACTATGAGGAGCGATTATTGTTTGTTATTATTTTATGAATCAAGATGTAGTGCAGTTGCCTATTTTGTTATTCCACTATTGTTATTATCATAGTGTATTTGCTAATAAAAAACAGTAAATATGCATTTTTCAAAAATTGAGATTGTCTTGTACTTTTCTATTGTTAAAAATTTGATGTTTATCTTAAAACTGTATACGCGACATCTTGGACCTGTTAAATACAGTAACTAGTTTATGAATGCCCAGGTTGAAGACTGCTACAATCTACATGTATGATCATAGTGGTGAGACTGGTATGATACGTAGATATTGTGGAAATGAATCTGATCAAATCAATAAAACCAAATCTCACAATCTTATCGAGACAGCGAAAGACAGTTTTCTTCACAGATTCAGATGTGGATTCTGTGGCCAGGCTTTCCAATCTGAGGAATTGTTTTTGTCACATTTGCGTGAGAGGAAGAGGAGGAAACTCACTGTAATAGTCAAACCGGAGCAATTGAAAAAACAAAAACCTGTACCACTTGCTGAGTCAGAGCCTGAACAGTATACGAGGCCGTATAAACATGTGATAGTAAGCGATACAATATCTGTCAAAAAGGCAATTAAACAAGAAAGTGTAATTGAACTTCATGGTCAATCAGACCCAATAGAGCTAACTCACCATATAACGAAATCGGAAGATATCTGTTGGAATGGTGACTTAAACATAACCTGCTTACCCGCTAACCCTAACGAGCAGAAAAAAGATAAGTATAAAATGTACGAGTTTAGTGGCCCTCTAATTTCAGACACAGAGCCAAGTTTCTTCGATTGCACAGAGTGTTGTTTCAGAGGTAAGACAAGCGAAGCACTAGCTGACCACGTTACCACTCGCTGCCACAGAATGCTCCATCTCATTAGGGAGAGAGAGAAGGTTTATTACGATTGCTCGGAGTGTTGTTTCAGAGCCTCCACTAACATTGCTTTAGAGAACCACATTAGAGTACTGCACAAGTCAGGAGAGAGGAAGAGACACCTCTCTCACTCCGAGTATCTGGACTGCTCTTGTTGTTGTTTTAGAGCACAGACTGAGGAGGCATTGTCACGACACGTAAAGATACGACACTAACATCCTCCGCTCACATTGCCACAAGAAAACCTCAGTTTTGCCATTTTATTTGTGTTTCTCAGAGCTCAGGATGCGCCCTCTTATCAGCACTTAACGTTATTCCAGTGTGCCACTCATCAGCACTGATATTGTCTTACTGTTTAGGGAGTCTGTTAGGTGATTTGTTTAGCTATATTCCTGTAGTTCATCTCCTTCTACGGTTATATCACTGATTATATTTTGTTGTTTAACGATGTCAATCGAATAATATTAAGGGACTATTATATGGACCTTAAATGAGTTTGTGGTCACGAATATTCAAATTATTTATTTATAACGGTCTTTAGTCTTAGCAGATATTCGAACTCTCTATTTTTGACAGATTAATGTTTTAAAGCGGATGCATTATATTTATCATAGTTACAATATTGCACATAATTTAATTCATTTCTTATCGTATAATTTTATGTCATTTCCATTTTGTTTGCATATTATGATTAATGTTATCAACGACTTGAAGTAAAAAATAACTACTTCGTATTTATCTGCTTGGCACTTAAATTAATAATGTATCGATACTAAATATGCAAGTTTAGGGTGTTCAAGGAAAGGCGGGAAATTTAATTTTTGTTACAATTATTATTATCATCTTCAAGCTGGCGCACGGCCTACAGATAGAAAACAATGTAATCTTATAGACTGTCAAAGTTTAAAACGCGCATTGGTATAACACTCGACTAATAAGGTCAGATTTATATTTCTTAACATATTCTTGATCCTTACACAATACACATCATACAATTGTGTCCAATTAATGATTAGGTCTCTAAACTCTTAGCAGAAAACACGTCTTTTTGCCCGTAAGAGCCTCTACTAAAAACTCGTTTTTAGAATAATATAAATGTTGACAAAAGTAAAACTTTGTCGATAAACATAGAAATGAACACATCAAATCATTTTAATATTGCAACATGAACAAAGTAAACATGACTAATGTGTAAACTATAAATGAGTAATGTAGAATGTAGAATGTAGATCATGCATATGATAATTTTATACATGGCTGTAATACATACCACGTGAAATATGGCTCAAAATATGCTCGAACCCTTACTTCGGGGGACGGGACAGTCTGGCGATAAAATACAGAAATTGATCATCATCATTCATCAAGGCCCAAGGGGTTCGTCTAAATAGCCCCGTGTTCTTCTATCTTACTACATATTTTAATAAATATCTATCTTATAAGTGGTCATTTAAGTTGCTTCAAATTACATTATTTTAAGTCCAATGTCCGAGCGTGCTTAATCACTCTACAGTCGATCTTCGAGATACTTCTAAAAGGGCCCCCGACAGTTGAGACCAACCTGAATCGATGTATTTTTTGAGGCTGATTCCGAATCACCCCCATGACCCCATGATATAGGGTCAAAATGCTCCCCTGGCGATATATGAGCTGGTCCCAAGTCCAGACGCCATTTTATTCTTTGTAATTTTCAATAACCCTGTTTAGTCATTGACTACTGATATGACCGTATAATAAGAAAGTTTGTCTAATTTCTCGTTAGAGTTAGGGTTTCAGCATATGCTTTTGTTAAAGATTGGGTTAGGGTTAGAGTTGAGATCAGATTAGTCATTAGAGGGCTAGGATTTCGAATAGCCATTCACGGCCAGCTAAAGAACGTGTTTAAAAAGTCACGTGACAGTCGAGTGTAGAGTGATTTATCATCATTCTTCAATGTCAGCTTCCACTTCCAGATCTATTTCCTCAGACATAGGTGACTGATAGACAAGACAGTTATCCTCCGAGTGTTCTTCACCTATCTTCGATAAACACTCTCCAACTTCAGCTTTCTTCTGGGCTACCACTATCTGGAACTCGGGTGACATGGAGAATGCAGTGTTGTCTTTTACCTTGAATTTTGAGGGAAGGAAAGGTTCTCCAAGCAATTCTTTGTTGTATTCCTTCCACAGATCCTCGTAATCTTTCTCTAACTCAACTCTCACCATCTTCAACATCAGGGCTCTAAACCCCCTACTAGCTTCCATCTGCTCTTGCCTTCTCGTACTAGGGTTCAAAGAGCCGTTGATAGCAGATAAAAGAGTAGTGACCGCCCCCAGAGTAGCTCCAACATAGTGGGTGATAGGGAGCAACACGGACAGGGTCGTTAATGCAGATAGGAATATGATAGCCATACTCATGATGTTGTGCATCCTGTCCCAATACTGCGCTACTTTTCCGTGCGATTCCGCCTTTGCAAGAGTCATGTTGACGAAGGATCCCCAGTTTTCTTCGATACCCATAATATGTGATATGATCTGAAATATTTCTATTTTTGAATACCCCATTCCTCACCTCTACATAAACAATAAACATTATAATGATAAACAGCAGAGGCAGCCAAATTGCGATACTTTTATGATTGCGATCAGGGACAGAAATCAAGCTTAATATAATTAATTCAGCATTTGTCCGTCTGAGAAACATACAGAACGAAGAACGACGATTAATCACTCTAAAGTCTACACTCAACTATCGACCACGTGATTGATTAAAGTAAGCCCGGACAAGGAACATAATATAGACTACTATAGTGACATATAGTGACTAATAATGAATAAGTATTCCAGTTTTGTCAATTAAACTTGGACCAAGTAACGATTTAAAATTAAACTGTGCAAATTAGTCCGAGACGAAACGGAAACTCGTTAGCTTTTCGTGTTAAAAGCGATTTCTCGACGGTTATCACCTCTCAAGATGACGCTTAAAACATTTGGCCTTCAGCATTTTGGCACCAAATGCAATGAGGGCGTTTTCGGCCACACCCTTTTCTAGGGTTTTGCGGTCATTCGGATTTTTGTATTTCGGCCCAAGAAGATCGTAGAAACTATTCCGTTACACCAAAATGTGCATAATAGCCATATTTAAATGCAATTTATAAAGCAACATATACCTTATAATGCATATTTTCAGAAATATGGCCGAAAAACGGTTTTTGGCTTGACGCAGTTCATAATGTCCGTGATTTTCGACATTTCTGCCTAGGAAGGTCGTAAAAACTACCTATTCGGATACACCAAATTGTACCTAATGGTCACATTTATATACAATTAATGAAGCAACATTATATACCTTCAAATGTTCATTTTCGGAAATATGGCTGAAAAACGGATTTTTGCCGAGCGAACGATGAAAATACTTACTTACTTTGAGTCCAGAAACATCTAAAGAGTTGAAGAATGATCTATTTCATTGGGCATCTCTCTTAATGGGCCAGGCCCACAGCATATTTGCGTCTTACGGAACAAAATTTTTTCAAAATTTCAGTTTCTTAAGGTCAAGGGGTCTTTTGCTTACAGCAAATTGTTCACAGTTGCCGACTCATGCACATTATGCACTCGAAGACGGAGTGATTAGAAGATAACCACTGCATGATAAAAACCGAACCAAATTGTTGGGCAAGGATCATCCTCATTGCTCATAATAATTTCTTTATTAAAAAGTTGTTAAAGAAAAAGTTGTTCTTCTTTGTTTTCTAACCACACTGCTTTAAACTATAATTTTCTAAGATATTCAGAGGTTGACTTATTTGCGGAAACTCAATGTGGTAAAAAGTGGTAAATAAGTGGTAATTGTGGATTTTGCTGACGTCAGAAATTTTGGGAACTATCTAGAATGATTCCTGGGACCTGTCCGCGATAAATCGTGCATTTTCCTTTAAATCTGAGGACCAAATTCGCGTATTTTCCTTCAAATCTGCGGGCCAAATATCACGTTTTCTATATAGGTATAAGAAAACAATCACATCCACAGTCTTCCGAATGTATTATGTATGTGCGGACTTCGAAAACCAAAAAAATATTTTCGGCTCATTATGATCATGGTAGCATGAAACATGAACAAAATTAGTTTCCAGAAAAACTTTGAAAAATTTTGACTTCTTGAAGGAAAGGCGGGAAATTTAATTTTTGTTACAATTATTATTATCTTTAAATTGTCCCAAATGTTGCCGAAGCGTGGATTTATAAATTATAAACTCCTGAGCGCGATCTCCAAGCAACTCGTTAATGATGAAAGCATGACGCGTGCCACACTTTTTGCGCGGCACGCAAATATAATATGAGTAATTTGAACCGAACACGAAATCTGGCATGTCATTGATTAATCCATGGAATGCAAAGTAAATGGAGAGAACCAGAAAAATGTTAACAGTTCAACTTTCAAGGTGTTGTTTTACTAAAATGGTCGTTTTACTAATCACTAATGTTAATTTCGATCTAATTTTAGTGGAAGATAATACAAATTAAGTTTTTATACTTAGAAACATTTTCATCGAGCTGTAAACACGAACAAATGAGTAAACTATGTAACTTACAGCCTGTAGATGTTAGCGATAGAAGAAGCTCAAATGGAGGGTGGACGAGTGAAGAAGCTCATAGAGGAGCTTGTGAAGTGTGAGGTGTATGAGGAAACTGTCTGGATAACCATTGGACTTTTCAGTTCCATGCAGGTAACCACTATTTACCACTAGTTACTACTAGTTACCACCAGTAACCGCCAGTTACCACTAGTTACCACTAGTTACTATATATTATTTAGGAGATAACTTAATTTAATGTCGCAAAAGTATTTGACAACATTGATAGGTTGATTGCCAACTCTATTTCTCGCTCTTAAAACTTATAAAACTAGGTTTTAGTGAGTGGAGCCCCTGTTCCTGTTAAAGAACGTGTCCAGCTGGTTCTGTCGAGACTTGTTACTCTTAGTGAGGATGTAGACCGGTCAAGTGGTGAGTAGTTCACCTTATAGTGTTTTAGGAAACTTCAAACGAGGTCTTATTTAGATTAACCAATTAGGGACGATATGGTCGTTTACGTCCCATCTTTTTTATAGGCTATAGATGACAAACCAAAATATTTGATGTTCAAAATCTATTGGGCTACATTATTTAGTTCGGAATATGGGCCTAATGAGTAACTAACAATTAGATAATTAAGTTAATTAGTCGTGATAATTTGAAATTATTCCAATTAACTGCTGGCCTTTATTGGGCCATTTAAACTTCATGGATGCCACGGTTGCTATGCGACAAAAGTTGCGGGCAACGATTTCCTGAATGCTAGCGAAAAGCCCGTGATAATCAGATGTTCACAAACAGAGCTAGACGCTGTGTCCAAACTGCAGTCGCATACGACCCACTCGTCCGGGTCGCAAACGACCCATCAAGTTTAACCACGTCATTAATAGATTACATATCAGTACTAATATCATGCGGTTCCATCATCATTCGTATCGGTGGTAACGTTCTACTCGGACCCCGGTATTCTATATGCAGATGTATATCAAGAATGCAGAATGATCACGAAGTAAACCTTGATACGTAATTCTAATTCTCTGTAGAGAAACAATAGGCCTTAGAGAACATTTGTTGATGAAATATGGGCTTGTTAAAGGGCAATGCCAATATTGCAATTGATTCTATAACAAAATATTAAGCAATAAAGCACACGATAATGCTATCAAAGTTTTCTATTTTTATCTTCGAAGTTCGAATTTTACCGAAATTAATTTTATTAAGGATTTTTCATGATTCAAGACTTAGTATTTCTGCATTTTTGGAAATTAAATTCAATTAATGATATTATATAACTATATAACTATAACTATATAATAATGATGTAACACGGTTATATATTCATTCTACTTATTTGGTTCACAGGTTTTTCCTAGACTCCGTGTTAGGACTTTAGCTGTCTGTACCAGTTTTTCGTTATCTTAGAACTTATTCCGCTTTTATTTTATTCCTACTCTCGATTCCTCGCTAGCAGTCCGGTTAATTTAGTACCTTTAGTGGGTCTCATTTAATCATTAGGTCTCATTAAAGAACTTCTCACCCTCTAAGAAAGCTCCTTTTGGAGATATTCCTTATTACCCTTTATGTTATTAATTTTCCTTGTGTTTGAATCCTGTCATTTTTTAACTGTTTGTAGTCTTTGTTATTTTCGGCCGATTTCTGCACTTTTACACTGGGTCATCATTCATAATTTCTGGGATAGAGACGACTTAAATCATCATTTAAGGAAGCGTTTGCTTGTCTGACTTACTTCATTAGACACTTCTGGTCAAGGTTTGTAAACACCTTCTTCACTAAATCTTTGGATGTGACTTTATCACTCCCATTTTCATTACTTCTCCCCATACTTTTTACGCTTACAGTTAGCATCACAGTATTTTGAACTGCACATTTATTTGTGTTACTGTTAAGTATTTGTTTATCTCTTGGTCTCGCACACTGAGTTGATGGTTCCTTCTCCCCATCTGGGAATGTTCACTTGTTTCGGCGCTACATCGCCTTAGTTCCTCGGTTATTTCTAGTTTTTCTGCACAGTGCAGATATTTTGTGCGTTCACAGGCTGGCCAGCACCAGATCCTGCGATGGGTCTTTTATAGTATTTTTCTTGCCATTTGTTTAATCTTCAGAGATTTCCATATTTCCAGCATAACGTATCGTTTGTCGTTTTTATCGTGTCTCCTTCATAAGACACAGGCTTTCTTTCAACATACCGTGTCGTATCATGATTTATCGTCTCTCCTTCTTCAGAGACTGGCTTTCTTTCAACATATCGTGTCGCATCATGCTTTATCGTCTCTCCTTCTTCAGAGACAGGTTTTCTTTCAACATACCGTGTCGTATCATGCTTTATCGTGTCTCCTTCTTCAGAGACAGGCTTTCTTTCAACATACCGTGTCGTATCATGCTTTATCGTGTCTCCTTCATCAGACACAGGCTTTCTTTCAACATACCGTGTCGTATCATGCTTTATCGTCTCTCCTTCTTCAGAGACAGGCTTTATTTCAGCATACCGTGTCGTATCATACTTTATCGTCTCTCCTTCTTCAGAGACAGGCTTTATTTCAACATACCGTGTCGTTTCATGCTTTATCATCTCTCCTTCTTCAGAGACAGGCTTTATTTCAACATACCGTGTCGTTTCGTGCTTTATCGTCTCTCCTTCCTCAGAGACAGGCTTAATTTCGACATATCGTGTCGCATCATGCTTTATCGTCTCTCCTTCTTCAGAGACAGGCTTTCTTTCAACATACCGTGTCGTATCATGCTTTATCGTGTCTCCTTCATCAGACACAGGCTTTCTTTGAACATACCGTGTCGTATCATGCTCTATCGTCTCTCCCTCTTCAGAGACAGGCTTTCTTTCTATATACCGTGTCGTATCATGCTTTATCGTCTCTCCTTCCTCAGAGACAGGCTTTATTTCAACATATCGTGTCGCACCATGCTTTATCGTCTCTCCTTCTTC